CCGCCAACTCTTGGGCTACTCTTTTAGCAACGAATAATGGGATTGACCGTGACATTATAACGCCCCCACGGCTGAAAGGGCGAGCATGTTTCGTGGAACGGGGATTCGAATACGCGTTCGAATCAATCGTTTCTCTCACTCATGAAGTAACTACAAAAGCATAACAGGCTTCGAACACCATTTCTGAGCTATTCAGTTAGCTTTATATGAGAAATTTAGTGCATTGCGTTATGCACTAGTTTGAGCCTATCGGGAGTCTTTTATTCTGTCCAGTTGATGAATATCGTGAGAATCTTTAAACGGTTCTATAAGATTTTAATTGTGTGTAATTTGAATTACTATTAAACGTTACCGTTAGAAGCGTTATTAGTCAGCCCTGGAATACCATATGAAACTCATAGGTAGAAAAGAAAACAAGAACCATTTAGATGTGTTTATACTATTTTTATGCATTTCATTGATGAAACAAAGAAAGCATAATTTTACACATATTTTAATCAGTTTTATCCTGGCCTATTTTCAACTTAAGAAATTGTAATAAAATTTTACCTTAGGAAGGTGATCTTCATACAGGATCATCAGTGCAACATTATAATAAGTTATGATGCAATTCTATGTTACATGATGTATCGTACTCGCAAATTCACTTACAACGAACACAACCAAAGCCTAAACTTACAAAAAATCTGGCAGTAATTTGTTTTTAGTTAAGCACAAAGCTACACTTTGGAATATCTGTGTTGTGCCCACCACAGGTATCGAAACCAGGTTTTTAGCGTTATAAGCCTCCATACTTACTGCTGAGCCACTAGGGGCATTTGACAGTAATAACAATTTGAACAGAAATATATCTGTCATTAAATTTTGTTACAAATCTTAGCTAGCTTCTTCGAATTCGTATAAGTTAACTAATACTTGCAAATAATACATATATATACACAGATATATATATATATACCAGCATTAATAACAATATATAATGTTGCTAGAGGTGCACAAAACTGCTCATAACTCGAAAATTAATAAAGCTAAGTTAGGTTGTGCCAGAGGTGGAAACCGTTTATAACTTCAAACTAATATAACTGTGCCAGAGGTGCACAAAATTACTCATAACTTCAAAACTAATAGAGCTACGCTAGATTGTCCTAGAGGTGCACAAACTACTCATAACTCCTAAACTAACAGATATACGCTGGTTTGTGGTAGAGGTGTACAAAAACGCTCAAAACTCGAAACTAATAAAGCTAATTTAGGTCGTGCTATAGGTGCACAAAACTACTGATAACTCCAAAACTAAAAAAAGCTACGCCTGTTTGTGGCAGATGTGTACAAAACCGCTCAGGACTCTGAAAGGAATAAAGCTAAGTAAGATTGCTTAATCTCATTGAAAACTCAGAAACCGTAAGAAATCTTTTGATATAAGACTGACTAAAATCCACTGGGATGCTCATTCATACTTCAGACTGTACATTCTGCCAGACCGTGAGACACAAGGCATCTGTATTTCACTCTTGTAATTGGTTACATTATGTCAATCTGAATTAAACTAAAAAGGTTAATATATTTAGGTTTATGGAAAAGGAGCAACGCTTACTGATATTCCCTCTGGCCCAACAGGTCCACGTGGTCCAATTATTCCAGGAGGCCCCTGAAATTATAAACAACAAAAAATAACAATGTTAGCTGATAACTCTTCAAAATGCACTTGTAATCTTTCAGATTTGAAATAAAAGTAACTCCAGAATTTAAAAATAACCCATATGTAATTTCACCTGTTTTAACCACTCGCACCAATATACAGAAATGTGTTATCTGTCAGTCAGCCAGTAGACACTAAAATGACGTTACACAAAGGACGCTTAATGTTGTAATTTATAATGTCGTAACGTCAGTAAAACATGCGCATGCCATGAATCACGAGAAGAATTATGTACTCTGTAGGCTATAACACAGCATGACACATGAGCTACAAAAGCAAGAATTAAAAATATTTGTTGCTCTTAATTTTGGTTTTATCTACTCTTGAAACTGAACACTTTCGGGAACCCTGCGGAAGTGCATCTAGTGTTTTAACACATGCACAATAGTTGTTTATAACTTAACCAATATTTTTGTACTTATATTATTTGAGTACCTCTAACATACTTTCTGAAATAGAAATGTAATTTCAAGTGATCTAAATGTTAATATTTTAAACTACTCTTTAAGAGTGTTTATCAAACACCGTGTATATAAGTTATTCGTTTAGGTTTGAAAACTGCACGCTATATTCACTTTCCTGGAAAACAGTTCTGTCGAATAACATTCAGTAAACAGAACCTTGAAAATTACGCTGTATAGGAATCAAACTACTGATAAAAGTATCAAGCTTAGCTCTTTATATTATATGGCCCGGCATGGCCAGGTGGATAAGGC